TGTAACTTGAACATTCCTACTACTATCTAAGCAAATGATTTTGCTTCTAATCCTTACTTACCTTTGATGTTTAAATATTTTATTTCAGCTTCTTGCTCTTCTTGTCTGTTATTGTTCTTTTAAGATTATAATGGGAGTACCAGACGTATTTATGAGCTATTGAAACTGGAATTTTTTGGGCATATCAAAGATATTAATAAAATCAAAAGATATTTAGTAAATGAAATGAGGAGATGAAATATGTGTTTGTAGACTAAAGAGGAGCAATATTTTAAGAAGTAACGATTGTATTCAGCAAAATGCGGTGTTGCAAGCATCTCGTGAACAGCAAGCGCTAAGAAAATTGCCTCTTCAAATATTTGGAAAGCTTTTTAGACATGGAAATTCATTCAGAGTCTTAGCTGTTGAAGTTGAGTATAATAAAAAATCTGAGGTGTTTTTAAAATCCATTACAGTACAAAGTCCGTAATCTGGACTCGTCGGGACTTCGGTGATTCCGGATTAGGGGTTTTTCAGGATTATAGATCATCGATTTAAATCTGTTAAGATGGCATGCAGAAATTATACAATTAAAAATATGAAACCATAATTTATGAATAAAGAGCAGTTATGATCTAAAGGGTATCAAAATGTACAAAAAAAAAGCTTAATATTTATTTGTTTACTTTATTAAACATTTCTTTCAGTGTAAGTTGTTTAAGTTGCTTCGTTTTTTTTTTTTTTCTTTAATTCTATAAACAGACCTAATTTCTTGTTCAGTTACAAAGTTCCGCTGTTCAAGTCCTGTAATTGCTGTGTCAAGAGTACCGACTAACTTGCCAATCGAAATTTTTTCATTTTCAATAACCTCTCTGTCACTTTCTTCACTATTTTCTGGATCTAGAACTAACCATACTACAGATCGCCATCCATTAATTGATTGATGATTGGGGCACTGTCGTCAGAATGAAAAACTTCTGTTATATCATCTTCATTTATTACCGCTTCTCCACATGTTATTTACAAAACCCAATAACTGGAAAACTTTCACCTTTAGTTTGCGAATGTCCGAAAACCTTAGAATTCGTGGCTATAATCTTTATCATCCTCACCATGAAATATGGTAGCTAGGCCATAAATTATGCCAAGCATTTTGTAACATATCTGGAGACACATCCTCCCACGATCTTGCGATGCTGCATGCAGCAGATTTTATGCTAAAAAATTTCAAAATGTCTTGAATAGTCTTGCAGATGTTCAAGAAATTTAACATAGATTTTTAAAATGCTACTTTATATTTGCATTTCAGCATGTGCACTATTCCCATATCCATAGGCTGAATGATAGACATACAATTTGGAGGGACGAATAGTACGGATCTTTCACTAAAACTTTAAGTGAAGTATGCGAAGAACAGTTGTCTACAATCAGGACTATTTTTGAATCATCAGGTAAACCAACTGAATTCAAATGTCGCCGAGCCTCGGTATAAAATGATTTTCAAACCAATCATACATCAACGCTTGTATCATCCATGCTCTTTTATTTGCGCAATATATAATGGGGAAAATCATTACTCCTTTAAATGCTCGAGGTCGTGCATGTTTTCCGATTGCGAAAAGTTTGCACTTCTGCGTTCCTGCAACATTTGGGCACGCTAAAATTGTTAGTCTCGCTTTGGAATCTTTGACACTAGTTGGAACCTTTTCTGTAGAAGTTCCAAGATATTTCGCGGTACATATTGCCAAAAAAGACCAGTTTCATCAGCGTTGTAAATTTGTTCTGGAGATAATTGTTCACTAGTAATGGGTTCAATGAATTCATCTGCAAATTGTTCAGCAGCTTCAGTATCAGCTGAAGCTGTTTCACCTGAAATTTTTAATTGTCTTCTACTGTGGCGATTTTTAAATTTGGTTAATCAACCTGTCGAATATGTGCACTCAATGTTTATTTCTTCATGAAATATTTTAGCTTGAGCCATTAGCATTAGACCCGTCAATGGCACGCCATCGCTGCAATGCTGCCTGACTCATTCAATCATAACTTTGTCATGATCGTCACTTCTAGCATAACGAAACCTTTTTCTGTTATTCATTGCAAGTGGGGTGTCGAAATCCAAAAAAAATTCAGTAAGTTCTTTTTGCTCCTCGCATAATTTTGAGACGGATATGCCTTTATCCATTTTTTGCAGCAATTCCACTTTTTGGTTGATGTACATCGAAACATGCTTTCGCTCTGTGGATCCTTTGGCAGCCTCCAGAACTGGAAACTGTTTTTGACATAATCAAAAGTTCAAGCTTAATTTTTATAAAATTGCTCTAACAGTCTGCAAAAAATAATAAGCCGGATCCAATTAGAAGATTAAGGAACAGTGCAATCTGCAACATTAACTGAAATGTATTAGAATCAGTAAAGATAAATTTAGCCTATCTTATACAGTACTGATGCTAAAAAAAAGTTTAAAGTTTATAAAATTAAACATTTAGCAGTAGTAGCAATAAAAGCTCCCTGAGATCCAATTAGAAGATTAAGGAACAGTGCAATCTGCAACATTAACTGAAATGTATTAGAATCAGTAAAGATAAATTTAGCCTATCTTATACAGTACTGATGCTAAAAAAAAGTTTAAAGTTTATAAAATTAAACATTTAGCAGTAGTAGCAATAAAAGCTCCCTGAGATACCATGTTGTGCAGACATTGAAGACAATAAAAGTTTCGAACTTAACCATTTATTAACAATATAATAAAGAATAAAAACACAGAAAATAAATTTCAACAATATCAGATCTTAGGAAATATAATATAAACCATCATTCATCAAATAATATTTTTACCTGGTTTCCAAAAACACTGGCATTCATACAAACAAATGTCCTAAACAGTAATATGCGGCCTAAAAATGAAGTTGGCTACACAGTTCAATAACGTCCCTGATCAATGGTTGAGAAAACACCTGAAATTTTAAATGAAGTTCTTGAAAGCACTTAAAATCGGCCTAACTCTTTGCCATTAGTTTGCACAGAGGAATCGCCGCTCACGTATTTTAAATGCCATCTTCATTGAAGAACATGGATGCCGCCCACGGCAGTCACTCACATGGTAGAAATCTCTGGAACCAAGGAACTTTATTCTGGAACAACCATCTTATGGATATCAACCAAGGAACCCCATCATTCCGAAACAATCATCCCGCGGACAGGCACCAAGGAACTTTATTCAGGAACAGCCATCCCGCAAACCGGAAACCAAGGCACTTTATTCACCGGACTGCATGCATCCTCTGAAGGGGCTGGAAACCACTCACTCAAGTGCCAGGAAGCAGGAACTAGAAGAAGGAGGACTGAGCCAGAGCGACACGAGATACTTATACCTAGAAGTAGGAATGACGTCATCTCACGGCAACCAATCAGCATCGGCACGAATCGGCTTTTTCAGATGACGTAACATCACGTTTCGTTTTTGCATCTCAATAGGTTGAAACAGTCCGTTCTCAATGCAAACAGTGGCACAAGAAAAAAGTAGAAAGTAACTACTCTATTACATTAAAATAAGAACTAAACTAAATAAGCATTTCAAGGAGGAGAGATGATGCAGTAAAAGGTTTACAATAAGTTATATTTTCCAACAAGTACAAAGTCTTTAATTCGGACGTTCATAATCCGGAATGATCTATAATCCAGACCTCAAAGCTACAAACTTTCTGCGCATGCGCATAATACCTTTATGCATGCGTATATGCTTTTACACATGCGCATAATACGTTTACGCATGCATGTTTAATGTATAAGGGATGGTATAAGCTTAGCTAAAATTATCTAATTATGTATTTCAGTTAATGTTGCAGATTGTGTTGTTCCTTAATCTTCGAATTTGATCCGGCTTATTATTTTTTGCAGACTATAAGAGCAATTTTATAAAAAGTAAGCTTGAATTTTTGATTATGTCCAAAAGAGTGTCCAATTCTGGAGCTGCCAATGGATCTACAAAAGTGAAACCATGTTCCGATGTTCATCAAACAATGGATAAAGGCATGAAGAAAGTTACAGAGAGGTTAGTGAAAACGAAAAAATTTCGATTGACAAGTTTCTCGGCACAGCAATTACAGGACTTGAACAGCGAAACTTTATAACTGAACAAGAAATTGTCTGTTTATAGAATTAAAGATAAAGGTATTAACACATAAAACGAAACAACTTACATTGAAAAGAAATGTTTAATAAAGTAAAAAAATAAATATTAAGCTTTTTTTTGGGTGGGGGGTAAATTTTGATACCCTTTAGATCATAAGTGCTCTTTATTTCATAAATTACAGTTTCAAATTTTTAATTGTATAATATCTGCATGCCATCTTACCAGATTTAAATTAATGGTCTATAATCCTGATAAGCCCCTAATCTGGAATCGCCGAAGTCCCGACGAGTGGGGATTAAAGACTTGGTACTGTACCGTCCGTTATACATTAAACGCGCATGCATAAAGCATACAGAAGGAAAAGTTTGTGGCTTTGAGGTCCAGATTATAGATCATTCCGGACAATGGACTTCCTGATTACGGACTTTGCACTGTACTACATTTTATTAGATCTGTTGAAATGTGATTAACAGATAATAAATTCTATGCTTTTAGGAAGTACTCTTGGCAGATTTTGTTTTAAATTCCATTTCATGCATTTTGAGAATGGTATGCATGACATTGTGCAGGCATATCATTTTATTAAATCTCACTTCCTATAATTGGCATTTTATTAAGCCTCAGTTCCTATAATTAATATTTTTGTTAACATACAATTGCGAAGAACCCTTTCTAAGGCATTGCTCCAAATGATTTTGGTCTTAGAGCATTGACATTCAATACTGATGCATATTATGTTCTCAGAAAAGCTATTCCATTTCAGAGGTATTCTCTCTACAAGAGGTTTCACTGTAGTTTAATTTACTGTCTTATTATTATGATGTAACTTGTGATAAGTTTTGGAATTATTTATGGGCTTGGTTTATTCTATTTGAAATTTTCATTCTAGGATTTAGAAAGATCTCGGGAAGCTGCTCTTGAAATTTCATCAGAAGCAGAAGGTACATTACCTGCTCCACCTATGGATCAAGAAGATCTCACAGAATATAAGTTTCAAAAATATGCTGTTACTTATTTCCAAGGGAATGCAAGCCATCAGTATCAAAGAAAACCTTTAAAGCAGCCTCTCTTACCTTTAGCTACTCAGGGTGATTGTATGGCAAGTATTTTTAACCCTGCTAAAATTATTAATAAAATATCATTTGTATGAGTTATTAGACTCAAGTTTATTTCAAATAGATATATGTAAATGCATCTTCATCAATTAAATTTTGTCTGTTACTTGAGAGTTTCAATACATATATGTGATATTAAAAAAATGCACTTGTATGAAATGTATAATGAACAAATACTTTGCAAATACAAATTCAACCAAATACTTCTTTGCAATTCTGAAAAATATGTTTTCAAATATTTTAGGCAGCTTTAGCTCTTTGGATTACTATACTCCGATTCATGGGAGATTTGCCTGAGCCAAAATTTCATACTATGGAAAGGGTATGGATATTTTGTTAGCTTGAAAAGTTCTTTTCTTCTGTTTGCATACTGTGTTTTTAATATGTAATAATTCTTTATTGTAGGATAACACGTCTGTTATGAGCAAAGTCACTGCTACCTTGGGGCGTAATTTTATCAAAACCAAAGAATTTCAGGAAGCACAAATGATGGGCGTGGATGCTGTAAGTACTTGGATAAGTTGGAGATCAACTTAAAATATCCAAATCATTTTATGCAAAATAGAATTTTTAAACTATAGGGCCTACTGATAACGTATATACGGCATTTCCTGTGCACTGATTTTCTACACTTTTGACTCATTTTGCTTGCAACAGAGCTGATATGCTTGACACATGGACTGCTATTTCCAACCTGTTTTGTCATATTTCCATCTCCTTCAGTAACAACATATTGTGTGATAATGCAAAAAGCACTTTAAAAAAAAATTTAGTGTTGTGCAATTTGATCTGTGTGTTCTTGCAGGCAGTGGAAGGCATAAATAGTCAGAATGTAGTACAAAGCAAATCAAATGAATTTATGATGGCTGTAAATACAAATGCATTATTTTTAAAGAAGAATGTTGCAAAATATATGCAGCGTTTATTTTAAAACAGGTGCTTTTTTGTTAATATTCACTTTTAATTATGGAACAGCTTTGGTTGTATATGTGTATCCCAGGAAGAAACTAAAACTAAAGCAAAAGAGAAATGAGCCTAAAGGTTGTGAAATGAGAATAAGAGTACTAATGTTTTGCTAATAATAGTGGTAATCTACTAATATTTGTGCTCAGAATTTTTATAATAGTATTTAATATACTGCTAGAACGGAAAAGAATCCTAAAATTGATTTATTAGAAAGTTAAAACTCATCAGAATTAACAGTTTGACGAATAATTCGAAATAACTTCGAAAATGAAGTACCTTGCCAAAAGGTTTGATTTATTAATAAGGAAACATGTAAAAAGGGGCTCTTATTAATAGCTCTAAGAATGCGTACACCTTTTTCTATGTGAAGACAAAAAATAATCTGAGATCATGCTTTGTGTATGCATTGTTAAGAATAAAGTTCGAGTAGCACTTTGCATTACCTGGGCAAGCACTGTTGTATTTGGATGTTTTATTAAAAAATTACGTTCTGTCCTTAAAAATTGGTAGATAAATATGAATTATTTTAATATTTTAAATATACATTTTCATGCTTTGAAAAATCTCTAGCAAGTTCAAGACAATTTAATTGGTGACTTTATATCACCTTTTAGTAATACTTCCGAGATAATTAATTGCTGTTAATATATTCATGAGCTTAAATAATTTAAATTATGAAAATGAATACTCATTGCTAGCCATTCATATAGGAAAGAATATGATAAAACATTTTTTTATATATTTTAGGTAACTTTTTTTTGCTCAAAAACCGAGTAATGCATGGAAGTATTAATATGGAGAGCTAGATGTTATTCTGCTGTAGGTCAGGATGCTTTTAGGATATTGTTTGATGCAAAATGTGCGCATACAATTCTTTGGAAACAAATCAGTATTCTAAAAAAGAATAAACTATAAATAATGTAATAAATTTATATATATATTATATGTTAGAATGTAGGTAGAGTACATTGTTTTTTTAGAAAACATTTTGCTTTATGTTTGTGTTGTGTGTATACTGTATGCACTATAGAGTCCGAGATCCAGAATCGTCATGACTTCAGGGGTTATGGATTTTGGAAATTTCCAGAGTTTAGATCATCAATTGAAATCTAGTGAAATGACATATAGAAATTAGTCTTTTTTTTAATATTTGGAATTCTGAATTTCTTTAGGAAGGAGATATTTTACATGAGAAAGATTTTTGCTGAATCATCATCATGTGAAATTAAAATGTAGGATTTCAGTTGTATCATCTTCATTTAATGTTTCTTCTTATTTTTATTCCATTAGTAGGAAAATTTTTCTTTTTTTGTGATATTTGAAAAACCTTCAGATTTGCAGTTCTCATCATCATTATCATGAAATTTGGTAGCTGTCTATAAATTATACCAGGCATATAAAAAATATCTGCAAGACATAGCCTCTGATGATCTTGCAATACCCCTCATGTCATATTTTATATTAAAATATTTCTAGATCTTTTGGATTATCTTACTTCATTTGTTTTTAAACAGCAGCTTTATATTTGCATTTCATTGCATTTTCGAGGAATGAATAAACTGAAGATGTTATCATTTACTAAAAGAGTAATTTTGATGAGATTAATAATAGGTGGGATAAAATAATAAACTGGTTTAAATTGTGAAGTTAAGGCTAGAGTACAATTTGCTATGTTAATGGAACTTAGGTTCTTCAGAATCTTAATTCTTTCTCTTTTCTGCTGCAGCTATATCAACAAAAGAAAACCAGTATGAACTACATCCCACTCCAAATAAATATATCTTGGGGCTTGACACAATGAAATCTGTTAGTCGGGAGAAAAATCGCTTTTATGCCACACCTGCTTTTTCTTGATTCCTGGATTTTGTAAAGGGGCAAAAAAAAAAATCTTTGAAGAAAAAGCTTCTTGGAAGTGTCCAGATTTCGGACTTCGTACTGCACATATACTGTTTTTCTAAAACATGATTCCGAGTTCTTAAATTCCTTATTACTTTGAAATTAAGCCACATCCTATCTTTTTATTAAAAAGTGAAAATTGAAGTAATACTGTAAGCAATGTATTTTTTAATATTTTCGATAAATTTTTAAGTTTTCATGTAAATATTTTTTTTTAGTCTATCATACCTACAGAAATTTATCACAAGCAAAAGTCTCGCAGCATTAGAAATAAGTTAGTATCTCTGACTTTGAAGAAGAAGAACAAAATTACTGAAGATGTGCGCCGTCAGCTCCAAGAAGAGGAGTTAGCTGCTGATACATACAGTAGTTGGCTTGAAAGTAGGCCTACATCTAATCTTGAAAAACTACATTTTATCATTGGGCATGGTATCTTGCGTGATGAATTAAGGTATGAAACAGTTGCTTCTGCTTAAACTAAAAGCCTGACTATACATCATTCAGCTAATTATTGTTGCATAAATTTAACTATATTAGTATAGCATCCATTATTTTCTATGATTTCTACCCATCTTTCATGCAGCTTTTGAATTCCCATTTTAAAGAACTGGTTTTGCTTCAAAATATTCATTTATTTCATTTCAGCCTCCTCTTTACTGAGGAAGTGCTTTCAAGTTTAAAAGTTTTGGAATTTGACATAATATAGAAAAGATGGAAATGTGAGATGTTTATATCAGATTTCCGAACTGCAGAAGGCTTCAAATCTTTTATTTTGTAGGAAAGCAGATAATGTAAAAAATAATTTATAAATAAAAGCACAATCAAATGAAAATGAAATTAATTAGTTGTGCTCTTGCTAATTTCTTTTGGAAGACTGTGACAAATTAAGATGTATCATGCACGTTTGTGATCATGTTTTATATGTTTTAAGATCTGGTAAATAATTCTTCAGTATTTTATAATTTGAGCTTTGAGTTATCATGTGTCATTTTCTTTCAGAATTACATGCTCTATTTGCTAGATCTGAGGCCGTGAAGTTCTGTTTTGAAAGCTGGCTAAAAAGAAGGCATTTTTTGTCACAGTGATTAGCATCTTAGCAGATCAAATAACATGTTATATGACATGTTTTTAATATTATGGATCGCATACTGGGGTCTGCTGTAGCGCATGTTGCTGTAAATTGTGCAGAACTTGTAGTAAACAAATGCTGATATAGTAAACATGATATCCCTTAGATTGTTGCATATGTGTAATTTTGTACGAGTGCATCAGTGGGTGGCTAATTATATTTCTGAACACTTTGAATCCATTGGATGTTAAATGACTAAAACTGCAGATCTCTACCAGTTTGTGTTGATCTGTGGCAGAAAATTATATTGCCATGCCATCGTATCTAGTGTATTGTTATCGATGGTTATAGTTACCCTCACAGGAAGGAAAATTTGTGTTCTTAAATGTGCGTTAAGTAACAGCGAGTACAATAAGAGTGAAATACTGAGATAAACTGCTCAAGCACATCCTATACAAGTGGTCAAAGAGAATGTTCTCTCTCACCAAGATTTCCATCATTTTTTGTTTCCACCCACTCATACCCTCACACCCTCATTCTGTTTCACCCTATTTTTAACATTATCTGGATTTTCATCTACTATACATTAAGTATATTTAATTTCTGTGATCAAAAAAGAACTCCCCCCCCCTACAATCAAAGCTAAAATTGGGCCAGAGCCCACCGGATTCTGGCTCTGGTGTTTCTTAGTTTTTGTAATAAATCATAATTCTAGCCAGAGCGCACCGGAGCCCTGAATAAGAAGGCTGCAGCACTTCTTTTATGTAACTGAATAACAATTTCAGTAGAAACTTTGTCTCGAAAATTTTATTTTAACAATAAAATTATACTAAAAATTGCTTATCAGATTTTACTTTTATTTAATTATTTCAATAAATAATAATTAATTATCTTATAATTATCAATTAAATTATAATTAATTATCTAATAATCATCAGTTAAATTATAATGGATTAATTTGATAATAATTATTGATTAACAATTTATAAACATTAATTAAATAGCTATTAATAAATTTGATAATAATTAACTATGTAATTTAAAAAATATTAATGAGTTTAATAGTCATTTTATTTATTTATTTACTCTTGTTCCTCTTTGCCGATGGTCTTCCATAGGGATCCGGCACTTCTAATTTTAGAAATTAAGCCCTGGTTTAAGGGTCATAGGTCCAAGGCATTGTATTTAAAAAATATAAGAGGCACTGTCGTAGTGGGATATTTATTCACCTAAGTGAACAGAAGTTTTTGCTTTTGGACTTCTGCATGTTCTTTAAATGGCATCAGGGACTGTTTTTTTAGTTAAAATGTACAGGGTAAAAGTTTTGGACGTATACTTTTTATATAAATTGAATAAAAGTTGCCTAAACTTATCAAAATATGAAAAAAGTGCCAAGATATTGTTTTAAGATGATTTAGTATTGATTATGAACTTGCTTAGTTTTATTGCTTGTAGGATAAAGTGAGATTGTTCTAGCTTGTTTCTATATGTTTCTAGCTTGTTTCTAGCTTGAATATACACATTAATATTTTAATGTGTGAATTTGTATGCTGTGTTAAAATAGTTGACTAGACTATTTTAACACACTAGATATGCATAGTGAAGAAGAATTTTAAATTATGGCCACATTTAATAAAATTGGTAAGTTTACTGATGAACGCTTACCTTAATGCAAGAAATAGTTTTTATTCTTTTTTTTTATTATTATTATTAAAATGTCAGCACCCATGGCTATCAACAGACAGTTATGCTGATCTGCTTGTAGAAGACTTGTGCTTTGTTATCAGCTTTTTATACTTTGTTTTACATGAAAGTTAATTGTAAAGGAAATTTTACATTATTTTTCAGTATGAAAATATCACTGTTTTACAGTAATATGGTTAATGAAATTGTATTACATTTACATTTAATATTTTTAATGTTAGCATACATTATACAACATAAAATGTAACACACCAAGAAGGAGTTACTCAAATGAGACAAAAACTGGTAAATGTGATTATATGTACTGAAAATGAAACACTAACAATGTCATAAGAATTGAATGTTTTATTCAGGATATGCAGCTATAAAAAGAAAAAAAGGAACCTGTGATCCTGATACAAGCTGTTATCCATCTGAGAATTGATTGTAGATTTGGCTGATGGCTTTCTGCAATATTGCTTGCTGTGCATGTTCCAATTGATGAGTTAGATTGGTGTGATCCAAGAACGGTGGAAGTCACCTACTCATCAAACCCCAAGCATGCTGTATTGTGGAGAGATCTGGTGATCACACCTCCTAGGGTACTGTTGGAGAAGCATGGAAACATGTGGTAGAAAGACTGGGCATTAATCCTGTTGAAATGTAAGCCCAGAGGTTTGTGAAAGGAATGTAACACTACAAGGCATAGAACCTCACTGATGTATGGCTGTGTTGTAAAGAAGTCACTGATAACCAAAGGGTTCCTATTATCAAATGAAATTGCACTCCATACCATAACACCTTTGTAGTGGACAATAGTTGGATAAGTATTTCACCGCTGCCCTGGACGTCTCTGCCTGATGGTGTGTAACAGTGAGGGCAATGAACGCAATTGCCTCCATGACCTCAGCTGCCTTTGCTGAGTTGCCTATCAATGGCCATTGCAGTAACTGATATCCCTGTTGCACATTGGATCATTGATAAAGATGCATAGGCTGTGAGTGTGGATTAGACGGTCACTTTGTTATCGCTGTTGGTTGTCTACTATCTTCTTGAACTATGGCTGTACAGCCATGATTCATCCATTCTTGCTTACAGCCATGGTTCATCCATTCTTGCTAGCATCTCTGAATGGTAGCATCGCTCTGACCCAACTGTTAAGCAATCCTGTGATTTGACCAGACTGCTTTCTTAAGTCCAATTGCACGTCCTCTCTCAGATGGTGACACCTGCTCATATTGTTCATGAAACCATCTATGACTCATTATTTCAAGAAATAAAAGTGATGAACTCTGAAATGTCTGATCAGAGGCGTAAAACTCATGTTTAAAAAGTTGTTTGAATTTATCTATTATGTTTGATTATATATTTTTATGTATGCTATATTGTGAATTAATACAGCAAAGGTTTAAAAAAATGATTGAGCATAGTGAAATTTTAAAGCTGTGTTCTTGATGTAGGTATTCTCATTTGGAATTTTCAGATTTACATCTTGTAAATTATAATAAATATCTTGAATTTGTGCATTTGTATATAAAATATTATACCTCTTCTCTTTCTAGTGCTTTAATAATACAAATTAATAATTTTCCAAAGATGTTTTTCTTTTAAAGAAGGGTATATGTAAGGTAAATTTTAACTTTAATTCTTAATAGCTCTAAGTATTTCTTCTAATTTGGCTTCCCTCCTTTCGTGTCTTAAAAATAGTAACGTACTTAATCTTTCTGAAGTACATCATATAAAAAATAGTGACTGTTACAATTCTTCCATAATACTAATCACTTGCATACTGCATGACAAAAGTGAAAGTTGAGTCCTTTTTTGTAGTGATGCTTTTTGGATTCTATGTTAAAATAATATCCTAGCTAACATAACTGAGTGTTTTCGTTGATCTCATTCTTGTGATGATTCTTCAGAAAGGAATGTCACACTGTATGTTATCTGCAGAGATAACTGCTTGTAAGTGTATCCTATTAAATGTGCTCTAAATAAAAGTGGATTAAGAAGATTGTGACTATCTTATTCTAAAGAAAAGTCTTGGACATCATATTTTTGTGTGCACTAATCTAATATAAATATATGATATAAAAGTGTAAAAATTGTGCCTATAACTATTTCGATTCTTTTAATGTTAAATAAATAATTATGTTCATAGGGATGAAATTTATTGCCAGATATGTAAACAGTTGACTAATAATCCAAATAAGAGTTCTCATGCTCGTGGTTGGATTCTGTTATCACTCTGTGTTGGCTGTTTTGCACCTTCTGATAGAGTAAGTAAATTTTCTTACTCGTCATACCATAAATAATTGCAATTTCATTTTTTCTTTATAATTTTATGTGTAATATCTCAAAAGTGCTGTGTCAATAAACAGTTATTCTTCTTTCATCTGCGTTAAAATGACTTGTAAGGGTACAGTTAATTCTGTTTTTCAGTTTGTCAAATACTTATTGAACTTCATTCGAGAAGGACCTCCTGGTTATGCACCTTACTGTGAAGACCGTTTGAGACGTACTTTTATGAATGGCACTAGAGGACAGCCTCCCTCATGGCTAGAATTACAAGCAACAAAATCAAAAAAGCCACTAATGCTTCCTATTACATTCATGGATGGTAATACCAAAACATTATTAGCGGACTCTGCAACAACAGCTAGAGAACTTTGTGCTCAGTTGGCTGAAAAAATTGGTTTGAAGGATCAGTTTGGATTTTCATTATACATTGCATTATTTGATAAGGTATATGTTCATTTACATAGAATTAAGTTATACTTAGTAAAATATTGAAAAAAAAAACCTTGTGTTGCTTATAATATTTAAAATTTCGAAGGGGGCTCAATAATTATGGAAATAAAGTGTTAAACGCTATGAAATATATCTAGTAAAAATTAATTTGTTTTGCTATGTATATTTTTAAGCAGTAAAGTTTTGCAGCTGAGTAAAAGGTGAGATTTTTGTAATTACAAAAATATTTAAATAGGCCTAAAAAAATTTTTAAGTCATATTTGATATCTGTACTTCTGTACAACATCATAAGAAATCCTTTTATGTTATGTGATTGACATTTTCCTTTCACTTGTTTTCTTCTGATATTTTCATTGATAGCATAAAGTTATCTACTTTCTTTCATAGCATAAAGTTATCTACGTTAGAAATTCTTTTTAAAATTTGGTGTGCTCAAACTTTTGCTTTTCTTATTAGGTTTCATCTCTAGGCAGTGGAGGTGAACATGTTATGGACGCAATATCACAATGTGAACAGTATGCGAAAGAGCAAGGGGCACAAGAAAGAAATGCACCATGGCGGTTATTTTTCCGAAAAGAAATATTTGCTCCATGGCATGATCCTACGGAAGATGCTGTAGCTACTAATTTAATTTTCCAACAAGTTGTTCGAGGAGTAAAATTTGGAGAATATAGATGTGATAAGGTATTTGTAATGGTTTCATTGTTGCATTATAAATAATTGATAATTTTTCTCAATTATTCATACTTTTAACAGTTTTGATTGTTTAATAATAAGAATTTGATTGTGGCGTGATTGCAGCCAATGTTCTGCAAATTGTATTTAACAAGTTATACTGCACTAATATTTTTGTAAGTAAAAATTTTCTTTGTCTTAATAATAGGTTTGATTCCAAAATACTGAGGGGAAAAAAGTAGTTTATTTTTTCTCAAATTCTATATAAATGTATTTAAATGTCTGATGGGTGTAGCAGTTTCAAATCTTATGGAAATATAGAATCTGAATTTCAAGTAAATGTTAATTGGTTAACTGTTTCCTGGAGCTGGGACATATATGTTCTCAGCATTCACTATGTTAAATAAGATGCAAATTTAGTTTACTATGTAGATTTAAAATTTCCTACTTAATGCAAAGCTAGAAATGATTGACCCTGTCAATTTGTCTTTCTTCAATGTGTCCTTGCTGGCTGAAGAGTTGTCTAAATGGCCTCAATACATAAAAAATAAGTCTCTGTAGCCCACAGGAAAAGGTTAATAGGGAAGTTGTACACTGCTCATATGAATCAAGTTTCTATTTTCAGTGTCTTATGTATGATATGTTGGAAGTAATTTTTAGTTATATTTATTTTCAGTTGTTCTCTCGGGAATGACACACTAAAGCAAGTTTTTCAGTAAATGCCATAAAAAATAGATAGCTGTCTAGCGATGGATATGAACATTATTACTGTGTTCCATATTTCAGTTATTAAGTAGCTTGCATTTTTTGCTATAATAAATAATATTACGTAACCAGTATCCTGATACTATGGGGACAAGAGATCTTGACCCTTTCGTTGAAAAATTGCAGGTCATTTTAACTTTATTGTAATTATAATTACTAATGTCTTTAGTCAATTTTTTATTATATAAGAGTAATTTAGATTATTATGTATTAGAATTTAAATTAAAATGCATAAAGCACAATAGATACAAGCAGTATTTTATTACTTTCAATAGCTACTTATCCACTTTTTAGGAAGTCTTCTGGAAAAGCTGAATTAATGTTTTTTATAGTTAGGATCATTTTAAAAGCCGATGGAAAAATTGTTAGCCAAATATCCACATAAACGGATATATTAAATACCTCATACCAACTATGTATGTACAGGGTGATTATAATTAAAGTTTAAGTTTCAAAACGCTATAAAAAAAGAACCACTGATGGAAATGATGTGAAATTTGAAAGGAATGTTATTGAAGAAGGCGGAAAGCGTATGGCAGAAGAAAAAATTTAGTTTCAAAAGTTAGCAACAGATGGCGCTGTAAGCGGGAGAATCACAACGAGAAACGAGAAATGATTCGTAAAACAACGGGTTAAGGTGGAAGTTACACATTAAAATGCATTGACAAATTAGAATTGTTGAATAATTTTATTTGCATGACTGTACATATCACATCGAAAGGGACAAATCGGTTTCAAGAGTTTTGCGGCGACATACCGCATAAGAACCATTCATCAAAGCAGTTCGGAATGTGTTGCGAAATGCGTGCCTTTAATTCCGCTAAATTTGCAGTTGGAGCACGGAACACAACATCCTTCAGATATCCCCTCAGCCAGAAATCAACACGGAGTAAGATCAGGCGATCGGGACGGCCAGGCTGTAGGGAATGACGGCTGATAATTCGAGCATTTCCGAAATGGCGCCTCAGCAGCTGCTTCACGGGATGTGCAATGTGCGGAGGAATGCCATCGTGTATAAAAATGATTTCATCGACACATCCACGCTGTTGCAGAGCTGGAATCACGAGGTTGCGCAAAATCGATGCATAACCTCTGACCAGTGACGGTTGCGATAACAGGACCTGGAAGCACCCGTCTGCTCGAAAAAATATGGTTGTAGGACGAATGATGCCGTAAAGCCACGCACCACACCATGACCTTTTCAGGATGAAGTGGTACGGGGTGGCGTTGCCAGTGGATTTTCTGTTGCCCATATTCGAACAATTCTGGGTATTCACGTATGCCCTGTCAGATGGAAATGGACTTTATCTGTCCACACAAATTTTCCACGGCCATTCATTATCCACTTCCATGCGAGCCAGGAATTCTAACGCAAACGTCTCCCTTAGCTGCCAGGTCAGACGGAAGCAACTTCCTGCACATGGCCAATTTTGTACGGATAGCATTGCAGGATGTTTCGTACAATCTTCACAATTTGCAGCACCGTGCTCGTAGGCCTGTCCAATGTTCGGGCAATTCCTCGTGCACTGCACGGTTGCACACCACCGGCCGACCCCTCCTGTAATGCTGTGGCCACTTTCTTCAACTACCGTCGAATGCACTCGTTTTCTCCCTCTACCAGATTGCACATCAAACGAAACCTGTCGTTTTCGAAATTTTTGCATCATTTTCTTTAGATCCTACGACACTCATTGGACCAACGCCTTCTTTTATACCCTTCAGTGTCCTGAATTTTTGCAGAGCTACTCTTGCACATCATCATTCTTGTAATACAGCTTTACCAGTAGAGCACGCGATCCTGCAGTGAAAACACCCATGGCGAACGTCTGAGACGCGAAATGAGGAACAGCCTGTACCTGCGGCTTTTATAACACTGAAATTTAACTAACATTTTAATTTACGTCTTCTTCCGCTTGCAGCTGCCATCTGTTGCTAACTTTTGAAACTAAATTTTTTCTTCTGCCATACGCTTTCCCGCCTTCTTCAATAACATTCCTTTCAAATTTGACGTCATTTCCATGAGTGGTTCTTTTTTTATAGCGTTTTGAAACTTAAACTTTAATTATAATCACCCTGTATATGTCATATTCTCCATTTGTTGAATTAGAAATAGACAATGCTACTCTTTTGAAAAGCACTGCTACCACATATCTAGGTGTAGTGCTGGACGGCAAATTAAACTTTACTAATCATGTGAATACTGTTATAGAAAAAGTAGAGAAGAGATCCTCAATTTTGAAAAAACTAGCTGGTACCAAATGGAGAAGCTCACAGACTACCCTAAATAAAACTTACATATATTAAACCTATTTTCAAATGTGGAAGTGAGGTATTAATCTCTACCACACAAGCAAAGATTGACTCAAGATTCACAAAGATTGGAAAGAGCCCAAAGCAAAGCTTTTCGTATCATTACAGGAGCGGTGAAAAATACCCCGATTACAGCTATGTAAAGCTATACTTCCAACCCACCAATTGTTACTGCAATCAAGAAACAAGCAGTTGGTATATTTGCTAAAATGAAAGCATCGGCGTAGAGCACAGTGGATGAATCAATGCAAACCAAGTACCACGAACACCCAAATGTCTTCCCTAGAGGCTTGTGAGAAATTATTACAAAAAAGCTAACACAAACCCTGAACAAACTTTATAAATACAACAAAACAATCATTTTTCAATGGATCCCTTCACATGTAGGTATTGACGGTAACAAAAAGGTAGACTCACTGGCCAAAAGAGGAGCACTTGAGCCACAAGACAGCAAACCACTTCCTCCAGTCACTTGAAAAGCATATTTTTCAGAAATTAATGGATACTCTTTTAAATCTGACCAAGCAGCAAAATCAACAGGCAAATCCTGGGCTAACATTCAAGACATTTAGAAAAAGTTTTGTCGTAAAGCCTATAAAGAGGTTGTGACAAGCTTCATACTGCAAACAGGCTGTGATTGCATGGCACATCATCTTAATAAAATTGGCATCTTTGAACCTAGTGTAAGCCAAATTTGTAATTCAGGCATCGTGAATGCGGAGCATCTTCTTATATGCCCAGAACTAGTTAAAGAGTCTCAGAAACACTGTGAGATAAGCAAACTGCAAAATGTCAGAACTTTCATAACCTCCTTGTAGACTACATCTTTTATGTTCCTTTCCTTGTTTAAGTTTTTAACTTTTTCCTTTTGTTCCCATGTTCACTTTTTCTGGTTCTTAACTGAAATGTTTTTCCTTATACTTGAGCTGTTTTATATGTTATATGCAAGGGTAAGAGAGAATTTAATGCAAATCCTGCTGTTTATTTGTAGGCAAATTGTTCTCGACATGGAAGTCAAACATATAATTCCTTGACAAATGATTCTTTAATATGCTGACTCTTTCAACTCTAATTATAGTGTGTAGTATTTTATAAATAAAGAGGCCTGTAATTCTGTAATTTTATCCGCTGAATTATAAATTTTGTATGTGCTTAAGTAAAAAAGAGAGTTTGTGGTAAATTTTGTTTTGAAATGAGAAAGACAAAAAAATGCCCACCAGATATGCACGCAAGCATTTGGAGATGAGGCCGCATTTCACACTCAAGCTTCCAAAGAGTTCAAAGGGTTTAAAAATGGTAGAATATCTAGAAAAGTCCTAGACGATTACCAATAATACCAGAGCTTTTCAAACCCTGGGGATTCTCATTCATAAACTGCTAGTAAACTTTTAAAATGCTTTATCAATAAAATTAGTGCCTCTTCTGACAGCTGAAAAAAAGCAGCACCGGCTTTGAGTGTACAAACAATGATGTAAAAAATTACCTTTGTTTTAATCACTAATAGAGATAAAATATTGATATGCGACTAGGAATGAACTCCAGTCTTCAAATTCATAAAAGCTTGATAAAAAAAGGGGGCTTCAAATATGAAGTAATATGAAATCAGTTTTTTTCTGCTTATTTCAGGGGGCGTACCCATAAGGTATATATCACATAATTAGAGACAATGCAAATACAATTCTACATTGCTTTTGAGCTGTTTTAGAAAATAGGCTTTGAGTGGAACATCAAAAGATAGGGAATAACAAATCTTAGGTACTGCGATCATGAAAATGTAATGGCCCATTCTTTGTTCATTGTACATCAGCTTTTAATTTCTGTGAGCACAGATGTTGTTTGCCAGTGGTTTACTAACATGGAATGATTGCTTGCGATTATTTTTTGCTCTTGAAAATAAACTTGAATGGAGACAGATTTCTTATGGTAAGTAAGAA